TCCCCCCCACCCCCCCCACCCCCACCCCCGGGATCAAAGAGCTTTGAGATGATGGAGATGCTGGGTAGAAGCAGCTTGGATCTGAGTCACTGCTGAATGAAAATAACATACCAATATGGCTTGCCCCACACTGGGATGTGAGTGAGAAATAAACCTTTGTGTGTTAAGCCACTAAGATTTGAAGGCTTATTTGGTACCACATGTAATGATTTTTTTGACATTTCTTTCATTGAAAGCTAGGATCTGTGTCCCCTGTCCTTGAATCTGGGCTGGACTATGATTGGTTTGGACAACAGAATGCAGACCAAGTGATGCTGTGCTAGTTTCTGAGCTCAAGCCATATAAGACTAGCAGCTTACTGCCTATTGAAATGCTTGTTTGGGGATGCTTCCTTTCAGAATCTAACCAAGTTCTGAGAAACCAAACGAAGTGGCTATCTGTAGGCACTCTGGTTTTCAGTTCTAATCAGTCTTCCAGCCAATAGCCAACATCTCCTGCTAGCAAAACAAGTGAGTCATAATTAGCAATTAATCCCATAAAATCTTCAGATGATTCCATTCCGAGTCGGGACTGCAACCACATGAGCCTTGAAGTGAGAGTCACCCAGCTGAGATCAGCCAACACAGAGAATCATGAGAGCAGAATTATGAGTGCTATTAAAAAATAATTGTATCATAGAGAAACAAAAGACCACAGAACAGCCTGTCTCATCTTAACCAATATAATGGTGTGAGGCAAAAAGTCTCACTCTTGTAGTATTTAAATTTTTGGCTATGTGCATGTGATTTCTGTTCCAATTAGATATAGCTACAAATTTAATTTAAAAATATTTTTGAGGGCAGCCCGGGTGGCTCAGTGGTTTAGTGCCACCTTCAGCCCAGGGTGTAATCCTGGAGACCGAGGATCGAGTCCCACGTCGGGCTCCTTGCATGGAGTCTGTTTCTCCCTCTGCCTGTGTCTCTGCCTTTCTCTCTCTCTGTCACTCATGAATAAATAAATAAAATCTTTAAAATAATTTTTTTGGATATAGATACAATTTTTAATTAATTTAAAAAGTAGGCTCCAGGGATGCCTGGGTGGCTCAGTGGGTGAGTGTCTGCCTTTGGCTCAGGTCATGATCCCGGGGTCTGGGATCCAGTCCCACATTGGGCTCCCCATACAGAGCCTGCTCCTCCCTCTGCCTATGTCTTGCCTCTCTCTCTCTGTGTGTCTCTCATGAATAAATAAATAAAATCTTAAAAAAAAATAAAGTAGGCTCCATGCCCAGCGTGGAGCCCAAACTGGGGCTTGAACTCACAACCCTGAGATCAAGATCTGAGATCAAAAAAAAAAAAAAAAAGATCTGAGATCAAGAGTCCGACACTTAACTGACTGAGCTACCCAGGCACCCAATATAGCTACAAGTTTGAATTCACAACTTCTAACCATTGGGCCATTAAAACTGGTTTTGAATAGTTTTGATACCACAGCAACAGTAATAAATATTTACTGATCACCTCCTAAGTTGGAGCCAGGTCTTATTCTAGGGCTGAAGACAGAGCAGGGATCAAAGCTGACTTAGTCCTGGCTCTCCTGAATCTACCAGTCAGGTTGGAAAGACAGATCAAAAATAACAAGTACAGAAAAATGATCCTCTCTGAGAGTGATAAGTGCTCTGAAAGGAAGAACGATTAGATGATGTAGACATTGATTAGAATAGAGGCTATTTCAGATTGTATGAACAGGAAAGATCTTCTGAAAAAAATAGGGGTTGTGCCAGCCCTTAAAAGATCTGAAGGAAGAGCACTAGGAATAGAGAATATCTATGGCAAAGATGCCAACAGAGGAATGAGTAGGCAGTTATTTCAGTGTTGTGGGGGTGCCAGGGTTCTTTGATTAAGCATCTGCCTTTAGCTCAGGCCATGATTTCAGGGTCCTGGAATGGAGTCTTGTATCTGGCTCCCTGCTCAGTAGGGGGTCTGCTTCTCCCTCTCCCTCTGCCCCTTACCCCTGCTTGTGCGCTCTCTCTCCCTCTCTCTCAAATAAATAAGTAATCTTAAAAAAAAAAGATATATGAAACAGCATGTTAAATGTGAAATTTAGGAATGTGTTGTCACATACTATGAATGTTATCTAAGATTTTAAGTGAACTTTATAACATAATCTCTCATATTCCAAAGTTAGAAGATGAATATTTTTAAAAAGATTTTATTTGTTTATTCATGAGAGACACACAGAGAGGCAGAGACATAGGAAGAGGGAGAAGAAGCAGGCTCCATGCAGAGAGACCAATGCGGGACTTGATCCAGGGACCTCGGGATCACTCCCCGAGCCAAAGGCAGATGCTCAACCTCTGAGCCACCCAGGTGTCCCGAAGATGAATATTTTTTTAAAAGATTTTACCCATTTATTTGACAGAGAGCTCAATCCCAAGACCCTGAGATCATGACCTGAGCCAAATGCAGATGCTCAACCAGCTGAGCCACCCAGGTGTACCACAAGATGAATATTTTTAGTCAAAATCAATCATTTCTTTATCGTATTATTCAAAAATGACAAATTATTCAAATATCCTAGGAGTGTTTTCTGAGTCAAAAAAGGGTGAGGGACCTCTCACCCCAAAACGACTCCTCACTTGAGAGAAATATCACCTCTGCACCTTGCGGTCAAGCAGAGCCCTGTTAATATATCCTCTAATGCACACAGACCCGTGATGGTGTCCCCCAGGCACCTGGGAGTCTGACAGTCCTAAAAGGAATTCTTCACTGTCACCAACTGGCTCTGGGTCTCTGTGGTACATAGAGTCTCCTGGGCGTGCCTTCTGGAAAATGTTACTACCTTCACCCACTCCTTCAACAGACAGGCTGGGGCTGTAGCTCAGGTCAGAAAGGCCTTCACTCAGTGAAGGGGCAGGAAAGTTTTCCTGAAGGAGGTGACCCATGAGTAGGAGTCAGAAGGACAAGAAGGGAAGGTGTTCCAAAGGAACTTGTGCAAAGAAATGTGGGGTGCTGAGCTCAGTTCACGGTGGTTTCAAAGCACAGCAGGTGTACGTTATCCTGGGGGTATCGCTGGCACTTACTGCCTTACAAGCCCTGTGACCCATCCATCCCACCATGTGCATCTCAAAAGACCTGTAACCTCCAAGGCTGTGTGGCTCCCTAACCTTACCCAATTTCTCTCTGTCTCCTGGGGATAGACAGGTCTGCATGGGCTCACCAAGAGCAGGGCCTGCTGGGGCCTTAGAGTGCCCCCAAGGGTGAAGCTGGGCGCAGTGAATGCCTCCGTGGGGGGATTCTGCAGGGCTCTGGACAGGGGTCTTGGAGCGTTTTATCACAGTTCCCCGCAACCCGTGATTCACTGTCAAGGGTCCGCGCACGAGATGTTGCTCCTCCTCCAGAGGCTGCCGGGGAAAGTGCGCGGTTGGGCCCTGAGGCCGGCCCGGGGCTGCCGGCCGCTCCTGCGCAGCCTCAGGCCGGCGCTTCTCCCTTCTAGGCCGGGGATCTCCAGATTAAAACGGCGGATCCCGTCACTCTCAGGGACCTCAGTCTTGCGCGAAGAATCGAGCCCTAAACCCTGCTGTCCACTAGGGCTCCTGGGCCTGCTGTCCTTCCCCGAGTTGCTGTCCCCTGGAGGTTTATGCCTTCAAGCCTCTGCACTTGCTCTTCCCGCTGCCCGGGACCTTGTCTCTCTGCTCCTGGCCAACACCTACTTCGGCCCCCCCATTCCGACTCAAATGCCCGCAGCCCCTTCCTCGTCTGTGCCGCATCTCGCCGTCACGCTTGTGCCTCTGGGTCATCCGCTCTCGCGGCCCTTGAGGGACCAGGGCGGGGCCGGGGGTGAGAGGAGGGGTCTCTGGTCCCCAGCGCACGCAGAGCGCCGTCGGTTACCTCCGCACTCGGTCCGGGCGCCGAGGGGTTAAGGCCCGGGACCCGGAGGCCGGCCCCGGGGCGCGCGCACAGGCCTGGGGAAGCCGCCCCGGGGAGCGACCTCCACCCCGACTCCCCGCGGCGGACAGCAGCAGGGCCCCGACGCGGGCGGGCTTGGGCGCGGTCGGGTGGTAGAGACCGGGTGGGGGGCGGCGTCCCGCACCTCTGCGCTGCACCCCCCGACGAACGCTCTTAGTACAATCCGGGGATCCCCCCGCCCGCGGCGGCCCCGCCCCGGTTGCGCCTCCTCCGGTGCGAGCGGCGCGCGGGGCCGGCGGCACAGCGGCTATGGCGGGGCCCGGCGCCCGCTGGAAACGCCACATCGTGCGGCAGCTTCGGCAGCGGGACCGCACGCAGAAGGCGCTCTTCCTGGAGCTGGTGCCGGCCTGTGAGTGCGCCCCGGGGCCTTGCAAGGCGGCAGTGGAGGGGACCCGCCGGCGGGAGAGGCGAGGCTGGCTTCTCGCCCCCGAAGCCCTGGGCCTGCTGGCCCCTCTTTACGCCCCACCTCTCGCTAGTCGGGCCCCTTCCCGGACGCGGCTCCCTCCGGGGCCCCTGGCCTCCTGGCCTCTCAGGGCCCGTGTCTCCCGGCTGGGCTGGGGTTCGTTAGCCAGTGTTGTTCCTTTAGGGCCTCTTATGGTTTTCCCCTCTCCCAGGGCAGTCCCCAGGGTACAACCTAGTCAATCCATTTGGTCCCTGTGGCCTGGAGAAAAAACTCTAGAGCAGCTACTTGTAAACTCAGTCTCTAGGGAGGAAGTTCAGCGTCTCAGGCTTTGCCACTGCTAAGTGATCCTGGCTCAGGTTTTTGGACCACCTCTGTGCCCGGGCAGCCCCAGCCTGAGGGGCAGCTGGGGGCTCCAGGCTGCTGGCTGAGCCCGAGAAGTTATACTCAGGTGTTTCCGGGGGTGGGGGGGAGGCTGGTCAGGAGTGAGTATGGCAGTTCAAGCTAGGGTGAACAGGTGTGCAACTGTGTAAGTGCCTCTGGTCACTGGAGACTGTGTGTGTGTGTGTGTGTGGGGGGGAGTACAACCACTATCCCTCCAGCTCCATCACTGATCCTAATCTTGGCTGCTGTTTAACTGTCCCCCCCCCCCCCCGCCCATCCCCCAAACTGAATTTACAGCTCTTGTTTTCTGGGCCATTTCCCTGCAGCATTCTAGGCTGCTGGCCCTCTCTCTTAAGGGTGTGAGGGCGGCTTCCTGCCTCCAGGCAACCTCACTTTTCCACTGCTCTGATGGACAGTGAAACCATACAGTTTGAGGGAGAAATCACCCATCTCCGGAAAGCTGCAGTCTGTGGGATTGGAGAGACCTTGGAGGGCTGAGATCAGACATAATTTGGCTTCAGTCTTCTCTGCGGTCTTGGGTGGGTTGTATCCCTAGGCTTCAGATTTCTCACCCACAAATTGGGCAAAATAACATCTTTAGATTTGATGGGGGCAGTGCAGTGCCCTGGGGGCTGAGGTGGAGTGTGTGTGAGAACTTGACCAGGGACCTCAGTCGAGGTGACAGGCAGGGGACTGGGTGAAGGAAAGGAGCTGAGGAGCTAGGTCTGGGCTTAACACCCCCACCCTACTCTGGTGAGAAAAGAGGAAGTGAGTGTGGTGGGGGTGGAGGGAGATATTCCAGGGTCTGTAGCAAAAACTACCAAACTCAGGGAAGTCTACTGGATAGTTAGTTGCTCAAGGACTTTCTCTTCTGGCGTGGGGAAACCTTACCTCAACCCTGGGGAAGAGAGGACGGTTTTTTAGAATAGAAAGTTAGAGCCCTGGAGGGGAAGTAATTTGCCAGAGGCAATAGGCAGGTGGAACTGGGTTTGTGTCATCACTCTTCGGGGCAAAGAGTCGCTCTGGGGCAAGGCTGAATCAATCTCGTTCCCTCAGGACCCGCAGGGGTCAGTGAGGCTGGCCGTGTACTTCCTGTGGTGGCTGTCTTTCTCTGTTCCATGAAGAGGAGGTTTCCTGGGAGGGCCTGTAGGCAGGTGCTGCGAGGAGGTTGTGCAAGAGCTGAGGGTCTTGGTAGAGCCACACAAACACCCCTCAGGCAAAGAGCAGAGCCCAGCCTGACAGCAGCTCTGCCATTCTGCATCCCTGGGCTCCTGAGCCCTCCCAGCCACAGAGGTGTGCCTGAGTCTCCTAGAAAGTGTTTGTCTCTGCCCCAAGCTCACTCTCTTGCACCCCTAGATAACTGTCTCCTAGAGAAGGCTGAGTTGCTGGCCCGGATCTCAGAGAAGCTGCAGCCAAAGCCAAATGATGTCACCCCTGCTACCCTTCAGGGCCCTTGGTGAGTGTATGAGTGTTCCTGGTTACAATGGGCTGCCTATGCCTGGGCCCTGCCCCCACTGCCTATGCCCGGTTCAGTTTTTCCCTGGTATCTCCTTGGTCCTTAAATGCTACCCAGGGGAGGGAGGAGGTGGGCTCTTGAACCTTCCTCCAAGCCAGCTGTTTAGAATGTCCTTTCTCCACCATCTTTCTCAGTCCATCTCTGCACTAGTCTCATCTTTTCACTCCTTGCTCCCACACTCTCGCCTTCCTCCCTCCTTTTTTTTTTTTTTTTTTGTTGCTCTGATCCTTACCTGATGCCTATAGAAAAAAGTGTCTTGCTACATATTCCGAAGGAGGAATGGAGCCGAGAACCAGGAATGGGTTGGGCCTCAGAGTTGGGAGGTGCTTCTTAAGGAGGGTCCTGGCTAGGGAACCGGGGCCTGGGAAAACCCCAGAGCAGTTAAGGGCAGTTCCAGTTTCTGGAGACTTGATCTTTACTCTACTGGCTTTCTGGCTTCCACATTCCTTAGGGAGAAAGTTCATGGCTTTCAGGCTTTTTGTGTTCATCCTGTGGGTTTAATGGAAGGACAATGAACACCACTTTCTTATTGGTTGGCAGGGAGGAGGAATCGGGGCCTGACTCAGACCAAGTCCCATCATCAAGCACTCTGAGGGTGAAGTGGCAAGAGAAGGAGGAGGGGCTCCGACTGGTCTGCGGTGAGGTGAGGCTGGGCAGGGGTCTGAGAGGGAATGGCATGGGGCCAGACTCCAGGAGTTTGGGGGCAAGGGGGAGTGGTCCGTGGGATCCAGCAAGTGAGGGACATTCCCCAAGTTCAGTGCCAGAGTGCTCTCTAGCTTGGTTCTGGCAGCCCTGGATGAGGTAGTCTCCAACAGCAGCTAGAGAATGTGAGGTGAGCGCTCAGAGAGGAGTATGAGGTGTGCAAGGCCAGAGGTGTGACCTCTGCTCCTCCTTTCAGATGGTCCCGCCTGCTCTGTTTACAGCTTGCCTCACCAACCCCAGAGCCTAGCCACTGATGCACAGTACACATTTGCAGACTAAATAAGTAGGGTGGTCCATCTCCGTAGCAGTGACACTGCTGCCCCCACCTCATGGTGTCTCTTGGCTTCTGTTTCACCACATTGTCCTCGTTTTCTTTTTTCTGTAGTGGTTGCTTCTGAACTTCCTTCTGTGGTTCCTTTCCTCCTCCCTTTAAATGTGGGTGTTCCTTAAAGCTTGGGTGGGTTCACTGACTCCTGTGGGCTCAAATACTGTTTGCTGACTCCCAGACCTGTCTCTAGCCCAGTGTTCTTTCCTGAGCTCCACACTCTGTGGTCGGCTGGGGTTCTTGGACATCATATCCAAAATTAGATTCACCATCTCCCCCACAGTATATGGCCAGCACCACACAGAGAGGTGACTCTTGCAGGTGCTCGGCTAAGCATTATTTAAGCTAATCCTCTACAATGTTAGAGCAAGAAACTGAGAAATGGAGCCAGGATTTGAACTCCTTCACACATGAATCCAGCTTCTGTGATCTCCATTCATTCTTTCAACAAAGGTTTAGCGACAATTGTCATATCCACGGCCCAGGATAAGAACAAGATCTGGCCGCATGGAGCTTCCAGTCCGTGGGAGGAGACTGATAGGCCAATAAACACACGCCCAGTTACAGCATGCCACATTACTTGCCCAACTAGTGTGGGAATGGGGCTATAAACCCAGTGAGAGCCTTGCGCTCAAAGCCCCCATTGTAGTTGCAACTTGACATTTGAGGCACTTTCTGGGCTGTGAGATCTCCAAGGCCTGGGATGCCTTTGGTTTGCTTCCACTGATCCCTGGGGTCTGTCTCCACAGTCCATGCTAATGAATATTTGTAAACTAAATGATGGATGAGGTAAACCCTCCACCCCAACTAGAAGTCACTGGGTTGGAGACTGAGGGGGCACCTCTGGTCCCTCCCAGCCCTTCATGCTGAGCTAGTAGTCATCAGCTCATGGATCGATCCTGCCTCCAAATCCATCAACTCTCGGTTGGCCTGGTGCAAATTACCCTCATCCCTTCCTGGATGATCCCTCCCCTCACACTCCCATCCATTCTCCATATAGCACTCATAGTGATACACGCACACACACACACACACACACACACACACACACACACACATTTTAAGTGGGCCTCATGGCTTCTATGCAGTTTGAACTCACAACCCTGAGATTGAAAGTCTCATGCTCTGCCAGCTGAGCCAGCCAGGCACCCCACAGTGATACTTTTTTTTTATGATAGTCACAGAGAGAGAGAGAGAGAGAGAGAGAGAGAGAGAGGCAGAGACACAGGCAGAGGGAGAAGCAGGCCCCATGCACCGGGAGCCCGACGTGGGATTCGATCCCGGGTCTCCAGGATCGCGCCCTGGGCCAAAGGCAGGCGCTAAACCGCTGCGCCACCCAGGGATCCCCTAGCAACAAAAAGATCTCCCTTAAAAAAAGTACAGTAGAGACATACATGCTTGTGAACATTTCAAGGGAACAGAAGCCCACTGAGTAAAGTGAAACCCCCTTCTCAACTCTCTCCCATTGTCGGTTTGGTATACATCTTCCAGAGCCCTTTAGCCTGCCTTCCCAGTGGAGTTCTCCAGCCTCCTACTGTATTTCCTACCATTCTCTGAACTCCTAGTTCCCTTTGTGTGTGACACTTCCACGAACCCCCTGCCTTAGCACTTACTCCCTGGTACTTCCTCAGACACACACCAGTCCCCATTGGATATGCTAGGGGATGGGGAATGGCTTTTTCTTTAATTCTTAGTACTGTTTCATATATCACAACAAGCATATATCATTATTATTTAACTTTTGGGGGTAAATAATTACAGGTCAGGAATTTGCAAAATTGGTTACTTATGTAACTAGAGTACACACAATCAGGAAACTGATATTGGTATGAAATTTACATATATTTCTTGTCATGTTGTCCCATATATAGATTTGTGTGATTGGCAATACACAGCATGACTTCATCACCACAAAGATCTCCCTCTTGCTACCCTTTTTAGCCACAACTGACCCCTCTCCCCCAACCATCCCTAATCCTGCGACCACTAATCTGTTTTCCATCTCTACTAGTTGGATTTTGAAAAGCCCCCCCCCAAAATACTGAATAACAAAATGTCAATGAAAGTAAAAGACAAAGGGAGCAGAAGTAGAGGTCAGATTGCTGCATGGTGAAAGGAATCAGAAACGTTATGAATTGGGCCAGCTGGGACAGGAAAGTAGATACGCGCAGGACCATGGAGAGATGTGTCAGTGCAGGTGAAGTAGCAGGAGCCTTGCTCCTCAGTCCATCTCTCACCAGGCCCGTGTGAGAAAGAACACAGGAACAGGTCAGCAACCAGAGCCCCAGCCTTGGTTACTTCCTCATGTTCCTCTTGTCACACTGGTAGGAATTGCTCTGCCTGAGGTCTGTGTTTCACTGGCCCCTCAGCTCTAAAAAGTGGGACTTGACCTTCCTCTCTGTGGCTTTCCCAGCCATTGGTTGAAGGATTGTTGAATGAGGCAGGGGCATGGATAAGGTGACCCTCACCCCCACTCTTGGGCTGGGCAGCTCCAGTATTCAGTCTGGCCTCTGTGCTCCCACAGCCAATTTTCATTCTTGCCCTTGTGCTTCTGCTTAGGCTCCTGTTGCTCTCTGGAATCTGTGCTTGGGAAGGCCAGGGTTAGAGAAGTGGGCAGTAGAGCCCACATCTCTTGAACCTTTCCTGCAGACCTGTCCTGTACCTGAAACATAATGTTTGATGGCCTGCCATTTATCTGTGTACTTTGTTGAGACACTTAATCTGTTTGTGCCAATGTCCTCTTCTGTAAAACCGGGAAAATGGCAGTACCTACCTTATGCTGTTGTTATGGTGATTAAGAGTTAACACGTGTAGTGCTCAGAACAGGGCATGACACACACGTGCTATATAGACATTTGCTATTATCTGAAATATTATTCCTAATAATTTTACATTACCTTATGAGGTAAGTGCTATCATCCCCACTTTACAAGGGAGGAAACAGCAGGTTCAGAGAGGTTAAATGACGACCCCGGGGTCACAGGGCAAGTAAGTGGCACTGCCAGGACTGACACTCTGGAGCCTAAGGCCCTTCCACTGCTCCTCAAGAACAGCAGTGCGTTCCTGTGCACGATCCTAACTTGTCTGAGCCTCTGCTTTCTTTTCAGTAAGGGGGCGGGTGGGTGCCGTAGCCGACTCTGGAGAGGGGCGGGAGGCGCGGCGGGAGCCCTGCCCAGGCGCCCACGCCCACCTCCCACCTCCCGCCCCCAGATGGCCTACCAGGTGGTGGCGAAGAGCGCTGCCCTGGGCGCCCTGGAGTCAACGCTGGAGGAGCGGCAGAGCACGTGAGGCGCGGGCCATCTCTGCGGGGAAGGGGGGACCCGGTGCTCCTGCGTGTCTCCAGCGCGGCCCGAGGGCTTCCCCCACGCGCCTGGGCTCAGCGGCCCGGAACGGCAGGGCTCGGGGCGGAAGGCCTGGTTGGACACCAGGCTCGGCCACTTGCCTGACCGCACGGAAGGGGCAAGCCTGTCCCACCTGTGCGACCGGCTCCCACCGGGCGGTGACGAAGGGTCCCCCCCTTCAGGCTGGCGGCCCTGGAGGCCCGCGTGGCGGAGCTGCGGGAGGAGCAGGCGCGGCAGACGCGGCAAGTGGACGCGCAGCGGGCGCTGAACGTAGCGCAGCGGGCGGCCTACGAGGCGCTGCGCGGGCACGCCAGGCTCCAGGAGGCGGCCCTGCGCAGGCTCGAGGAGGAGGCGCGTGACCTGCTGGAGAGGCTCGTGCAGCGCAAAGCCCGCGCCGCCGCCGAGCGCAACCTGCGCAACGAGCGCTACGAGAAGTGAGCGCGCTTGGCCCCGCCCCTCGGGCGCGCGAGCGCCGCGGCCCGGCGGCGGGGGACGGGGGGAGGGGGGCGGTCGGTGCTGCGCCGCCACGGCCCGGGTGGGGCTGGCCCGGGTCCGGCTCCCTGGATGCTTCTCTCCCCCCAGGGCCAAGCAGGCACGGATGTCCTTGGAGCTAAAGGAGGCTGCCCAGCGGACTGTGAGCATCAGCGAGTAAGAGTGGGCATGGCCCGCCCCGAGCCCGACCGAGCCTGGAGCTTCCTTAGCCCGCTCCGCCCCGCGTGCCCTAAGGCGCCCTTAGCCTACAATTCTACCCTCGTGTCCACACAAGCCCCCCCCCCCCGGAAACTGAGCCCACAGGACACGTGCAGACTCGTGTGGTCGTAGGAGCCCGCACACCTGCCTGCTGCGCGTGCGTCCACACAAATTCTCTTTACTGTGTTGGGTACTGGAGGCAGGGACGGACTGGTCCCTTGACCTTCCTGAGTTTCACTCCCTCTCCCAGGAGCCCCAACACCATTGGCGATGGGATCAGAGAGGAGGGTAAGACTCTGGCCCTGATTGCTGAGCCCGTATCCCCGAAGAGTGAGGCTGGTGAGAAGTGGCTGAGGACCTTCAGGTGAGGACTGTCCCAGAGCACTGAGCTGGGCCCCACTTTGGAGTCTTCCTCTAGGGCCTTGGGCCCATCTCTTGGGCTGAGGGGTTTGGGCAGAGGCTGCAGTACAGCTTAGACCTCCCAGGACAGGTCTGATCACCAGTGCCTGGAGCGTCTTGGGGTCACTGCCACCTTAGGGACCCCCAGTGCTTCTTTCTCTCCTTCTTAGGACGAGAGCTCTGGAAGTGAAGTGTCAGGCTGGTGAAAGGGTGTCATCCGGAGGGAATCTGGGCAAGGCCCAGGACTCAGATGTCATAGGCATGTGTGCTACAGGGACCTGAGAGCACATGTATGCACAAGCTGAGGGAGCATGTGGTTATGTATAGATGTGAGCTTGCACGGGCTTCTGAAGCCTATGGATTGGAGTTTCAGTCCTTGAGTGTCCACCCCTTCAGTCTTCCCAATTTGTCTCCATTTGTCTCTCACTGAAGGTGCCCTTCCCCCTCCTTGTGCCATTCATCAGCTTGAAGGCTTCTCTTTCAGTGCTTCCTTGCAGGTCACTGGTATCCAGGCCTGGGGGAAATGAAAGAACTTTGGGGAGGGGCATGAGATGCTCGTTCCCAAAGTCCTTGGCAGCCCTGGTGGGCTAAGTCATCCTAGGACACTTTCTCTTCTGGACATTTTTGAGGTTACTCAGTAGGCCTAGGTTTTACTTCCCCTCTTCCCCTAGCCTTATGCTATTCCAGCCTGAGTGCACCTTCACCCTTTCTCCCATAGGCCCCAGCTCAGCCTACCCCAGTGTTGGGGGGCACTTGGGTGGTGAGGCAGTTCTTACTATAATGGTGGAAACTTTGGGAGACTTCATTGCCAAATCCCTCCCTGTCTCCACCTTCCTGGGACTGCTTTGGGTCATCCCGCTCTCCTGCTCTTGGAGAAGCCAAGTTCTTGTCCCAGGCTTAAGAGGCTGTGAGCCTCAGGGTGCCTGGCTGCTTTCTGCACACTCAGTGGCCAGTTCCTTAGCATGTCTCTCTTAATTCTACCCCAGGTCTGCCTCTGCCACCTCCTTGACGCTCTCCCGCTGTGTGGATGTGGTGAAGGGGCTTCTGGAGTAAGTGTGTGTGTGCAGCCACATGGTGTGTGAAGGGTCTGGTCCCCTTGGAGGCCTGTGTCAGGCTTCTGGAGTCTAGGCTTGGTCTGTGTGTGTCTCGATCTCTCTGTCCGTGTGTTGTGCAGCTGTCTGTGAATCTCTGCTGCCTCTCCCAGACTTCATTTCCTTCATTTCCAGGCCCTGGCTGGCTATCCTCCTCTCTCTGTCCCTCATCCATGGTCCTCACAGGAGATCAAGATCTCCAGTCTGAGCCTGGGTAGGAACTACCATTCAGTTGGGAAATGGGCTCAGATGTGTCAGGACTTGTTCAGGGTCCCAGAGCCAAGTGCTAGCAAGGCTACTCAGGTGGCTCTGCATCCGCCAACCCTACCCTGCCCCTGTGCCCCTCCCCTCTCCATACTGACCCCTGGGATCAGAGGCTGGCTTGGGAACAAACTCACTGCACCTCTGGGCCTTGTTCTACCACCTTTGGTGTCTACTTTCTATTGTTGCTGCCTCGGGAGCATGGGACTCCCATGTCAGAAGGCCTTGCTACATGCTTTCCTGACACCTGCCTTCCATCCAGTTTCAAGAAGAGGAGAGGCCGTTCCATTGGGGGAGCTTCTGAGCAGCGATACCAGAGCATCCCTGTGTGCGTGGCTGCTCAACCTCCTAGCCAGGTTCTGGATGTGCTGGTAAGGGAGGGGCTGGGCCACATGCAGAGGTGTTGATAAGGGGAGTGTAGGCCTCAGGGGTGGTGCACCGAGGCCAGGGAAGCAAGGCTGGGCTCCTTAGCTAGAGCAACAGTTTTTTTTCACAGCCAGTGGTAGAAGCTGGTCAGCCTTTAATAATGGAGGATGGACTGCAGAGGGGGATCAGGAGGCCACAGAGGGGAACAGGGAGAGGTATAGTGGGAAGCTGCTGCAGGGAGCATTGTGCAGAGGTGCGTGCAGGAGGGAGCCCGTGAGCTTGTGCAGGGAGGCACATATGGCGAGGACCGGGGGCACCAATCTCCCTTTTTCCCACAGGATGCCCACCTCTCTGAGGTCAATGCTGTTTGTTTTGGCCCCAATAGCAGCCTCCTAGCCACCGGAGGGGCCGACCGCCTCATCCACCTCTGGAACGTTGTGGGAGGTGAGGGTTCTTCTCTGTGGGCCAACCTAGTGCTTTCTCTCCAGACGCTACCCTCAGCTTGCTCCTTGGTAGGCCAACGTGTTATATCTGTTTGTGTTTCCTCACATGTAACATTTTTTTGTGGCCAGCGGCCAGATGACGCTTTGGCAAGAGTACTGGGCTGAGCTTCCCACCTGTTGGAATCCAGGTCTGCAGGATGGGGAGGGCTAAGCTCTGATGGTCCCTGTTAGGGGAAGTGGAGGTCCCTTATCATTAGATTCTGCAGAGACAGGCCCTTGAGAGGCAGGTCCCCGGGGTCCACCAGGTGACCTCTTCTGGTGTCACTTGAGCTCTCAGAACTTAGGGGATGAGTGTTAGCTATCTACCCTGAGCTTGTAGAGGCAGGTATGCTGGGGAGTCACAGTCACTTCCTGGAGGCTTCCTAGAGAAAGGCCTGGCTCTGGCTTACTCGGTGTCCTAGGGACAGTCCCTTCTTGTCCTCTGTAGTCCTGTGAGATGATCTGCTGCCCCCTGGAGCCTCCTGCTGGCGGTTTGGGAAGGTGCAGCCTCCAACACAGGCACCCAGAATTTTTTTCCTCTAACTTGGGAGAGACTGATCTTCTCAGCAACTCTTTTTCATGAAGTGAGTGACCTCACTTCACCTGTCCTTTTCCTGGTTCCCCCAGGTCGTCTGGAGGCCAACCAGACTCTTGAAGGAGCTGGTGGAAGCATCACCAGTGTGGACTTTGACCCTTCGGTGAGGGGATTTTGCCTCAGTGACAACATGGAATGCCTGTTCTGTGCCCCTGCCATCTCCACACTGGACAATTGGTGGCTCTAGGACATTTGGGGAACATCATGGATGTCCCAGAAGCAGTCCTTCTGGCTGCTACCAAACCCTTCCCTGTCCTGGAGGCTGCTCTGCCTGCCGGATGATCTGGGGCTGTGGGAAGCTCTTAAGGCAGCCCCTGCCCCGGCTCTGGCCTGAGGGCTGTTGCATCTCTCTGGGTCCAGGTTCAGGGCTCTTCATTCCCCCTTCCATCTCTCCAGGGCTCCCAGGTATTAGCAGCTACTTACAATCAGGCTGCCCAGCTCTGGAAGGTGGGGGAGGCACAGTCCAAGGTAAGGCCTGACTGAGGAGGCAGCCCTGGAGTTCAAGGGTCATGCCTTGGGCCCCAAAGGGGATGTTATGGAGTCTTGGCCATGTCCTTGATCTATACCGGGATGGGGGGGGGGTGAGCAGGAGACGCTATCTGGACACACAGACAAGGTGACAGCTGCCAAATTCAAGCTGACAAGGCACCAGGCGGTGACTGGGAGCCGAGATCGGACAGTGAAGGAGTGGGACCTCGGCCGCGCCTACTGTGAGGCCCAGCCCCTACCTCCCCCTCCCTACCTGTTGGTACTCCCAAATCAGGGCAAGAAAAAATACCTCAGCCTGTTCTCTGGGATAGCTCCAAGGGTCAGGCATTTGGGGTAAAGGTTCCCAGGGCCTCTCCCTCTCTGCCCCCCAGCAGTGCTTTCTGCCTGGTTTCTTGGTGACTTCAGGCTTTGGCCTGGGAAGCAGGGAATCTGGGTTCTAGTTTGGGGAGGATACTTAGCCCTCTGGGGCTTCGGGACCTCAGCTTCTCTGGATGTCCAGTGGGATGGCTTACAACAACCTTTTTCTGAGGCTGGAACTCTGCTCCTTGATCCCCAGGCTCCAGGACCATCAGTGTCCTTTCCTACTGTAATGATGTGGTGTGTGGGGACCATGTAATCATTAGTGGCCACAATGACCAGAAGATCCGGTTCTGGGACAGCAGGTGACAGGCATGGGCTATGAGTGGTGGAGGCATGGGGATAAGTTTGCTGTATACTCTTTTCCTTTCTCTGATGTGGAGGCACTTCAGGGAAGTGAGGCTAAGTGTGGCCCCTTGAAGGCTCCACTGCCCTTGGGGACCTATGGCCCCTTTGAAGTGGCTCTTGGTCCAACTGTTGGACTCTGCTCGGGCCTTGTCAGCCCCGTTTTTCATTTAGTTACCACTTTTTAATCAAAGGGAACAAAAGTTTTCATTGTTTTTTCAATCTAAGAGCCCAGCAGTTGGGCTTGGATGGCCTATGAAAGCTGGTGCTGGAGCCAGTGCCAGGCCTGTCTCAAGCTCCTCCTTCCTGGTGTTGGAAACCATTTGCTTCCTTTCATATGTTAAAAAGCAACTCTCATAGTTTTCTCTCCAGCACTTATTTTAGTGACCTAAGGGTTTCAAGGCCCCTGGCTTCTAGTCAGAGGCTGCCTAAGCTCCCCCTGGAGGGGCTGGCTGCCATGAGAGGATTAGTCAGCATCAGCCCTGGCCCCAGTGATCTGAGACCCAGGGGCACCTCTTGACTTTGTTAATCTGTCAGGAGTGGCCCAGGCGGGCTGTTCTTCATCCCTACCTCTGTCTCTCTTTTCAGGGTCCCCTGTTGCACCCAGGTCATCCCTGTGCAGGGTCGGGTCACTTCCCTGAACCTCAGCCATGACCAGCTGCATCTGCTCAGCTGTTCCCGAGATGACACACTCAAGATCATTGACCTTCGAGTCAGCAATATCCGCCAGGTGTTTAGGTACCTGCCTTATGCCTACCATTGCTGTGGCTCTGGCAGCTGGGTCTCTCTTCCCTTGAGAGGGGCCCTTCGGGACCTGTCAGTGGGGGGGCTCATCCTGAGGTCCTTCTAGACCAGAGCCTGCTGAGGTGCCCCAAGCTCTTGATGGAGAGAGGAAGCACTTGAAGCTCCTGGTAGAGGTCAGGGACTGGCAGTCATGTTCGTTCTGACCCCAGTCCCATCTGTCTGCAGGGCTGATGGCTTCAGGTGCGGTTCTGACTGGACCAAAGCCGTGTTCAGGTGTGTTTGTGAGAGCCCATGCCTGTGCCTGAGTATGCCCCATCTGACTAGGTCTGTGTCTGCATGTGTGTGTTGTCACCTCTGATCATCTCTTGCTTGCTCTGCTGTGGCCACTGCAGCCCGGACAGAAGCTATGCCCTGGCAGGTTCCTGGGACGGAGCCCTTTACATCTGGGATGTAGACACTGGGAAGCTGGAGGGTAGTCTGCGGGGACCCCACTGGTGAGCATGGCCAGCACCTGGCCACCCCAGCCACAGGGCCAGTGCCGTCCCCCCCCATCCCCCAAGTGCTGCTAAGCCAGTTCCAAGTTCTGACATGCTTGGGCCCCTGGACTCCCCAGCCCTTGTCCCCACACCTTCACCTCCCAGAGCCCTTCTTAGTTCACTTGGTGCTTACTCATGTGCGCCTGAGTCCTTCTTTGCAGCTCTGTGAGCCCATTTTATAGGTGAGGCGGCAGGCTCAGAGACAGCCTCGAACTGCTGAGTTCCAGTAATGAGGGACAGAACCCAGGCTGTAGGCCTGGCTTCTGATGCCTCTCTGAAGCCTGTCCCTCCCTCTCCTCAGCACTGCTGTCAACGCCGTGGCCTGGTGCTACTCGGGGAGCCATGTGGTGAGCGTGGACCAGGCCAGGAAGGTGGTGCTCTGGCACTAGTGCCATGATTCCTCCCGCCAGGGCTGGAACTCTAGTCTGAAGTCCAAAGCCAGAGGACAGCTTCCTATTGCTCACAGGGCTCTAGAGCCAGTGGGGCTGGGGGTGGGATGGGAGGTGGGGGTGGTCTTGGGGCCTTTAGTGGGCAATAAGGCCTGGCAGGACCTGGCCTATCTTGAAAAACAAAATGTGTGTGTGTGTGTGTGTGTGGCAGGTATTACAGTACTTTTTGGTTCATTTTTTTAAATCTCTGATTTCTCACTTTCTTTGACAAAAGTGAAAAAAAGTTGCATCTAAACTGGTGTCTACTTGCCTCTTTGCAGCATTCAGGTAGCAGAGGCCTTTGGGCTGGTGGCTCGAGGACACCTGGGCTTGGCCCCCTTTCCTCCACCTGCAGAGCTGGGCAGAGCCAGTCTGACCTCAGTGCTGTTCATATCTGAGGAGACAGCATGAAGAAAGGCTCACAGACAGCAAGGGCAGTGGCTCTTGGAGCCATGGGAATTTTACCTTTGGTCTAAGCTGGTTTAGAGGCCAAGCCAACACCTTGGGCCCTTGGGCTTCAGGCACTCAGGGTGGACTTGGACTGAGGCTGTGGAGGGGCCACGGGAATTGCAAGGAAGGGATCGGGGAGCAGCCTAGAGGGCTCTGGTGGAAAGGGTCCTAACAAACCAGAGAGTGGTGTCAAGTACTTAGTACACCAGGCCTGCCTTCAGATGAGAGCATGTTCTTGCTCCAGAGGTGGGGCCCAGAATGGGTGGGGAGCAGCCCGCATATGTCTGTGTGTTGGGGAGGGCAGCTGTGGGCTGGGCTTGGGTGGGTGCTTCACTTGGGTCAGCACCACAAGCCTCTGGAGTACAAACAAGGCAGACCCAGCAGGGGAGAGCCTGGGCACCCCACTTCCTTTGTCAACCTCGAGCATGGAGGAGCTGTCAGCAGGACAGCCATTGCCAGTCACAAGACAGCAGAAGGGACTTCTATCCAACTGATGGGGCCTTACTTTGGAGTTCTCATCTGAGATTCAAAGGCTTTACTCTAGAATTCTCAGTTTCCTTCTTTATCACCTTATAAAGTCTCCCTTGGGGGTCGTGCCATTCCCAGGGTTTGGAAGCCATTCCCAGGATGAGCAGTAAGGTGCTGAGAGCCTAAACTCTGTAGCTGGGCTGTCTATTTTTGAGTCACAGCCCACTATTTAATAGTTGAGGGATTTTGAGGGGTTCCTTAATGGCTTTGTGCCTTGGTTTCCTCCTCTGTGAAACGGGAAAATAACAGTACTCACCTCAGAGGGCACCTGGGTGGTGCAGTCCGTTAGGCATCCGGCTCTTGGTTTCTGCTCAGGTTGTGATTTTGGGGTCATGAGATGGAATCCCATATCGGGCTCTGTGCTCAGCATCTGCCAGAGATTCATTCTTTTGCCCCCTTCCCGTTCATGCTTTTTCTCTCAAAAAAAACAAAACAAAACAAAAAACCCTCTCACCTCAGAATTTATTGTATAGACTCAATGTGTTCGTATCTGGAAGCTCCTGGCACGTGACAAAGGCTGTGTGTTGATTAAATACCCAGGCTACACTCTGCTGACTCTCAGCTCACTCACTGCTCTGGGCCCAGCTGTCCCCTGAACTCTAGGTGACATACCTAGCTGCCTCCAGGACATCATCTCCCCCTGACATAAGTATCTCTTCCCCTCATGCCTACATCCTCCTGCACCGGGGGGATTTTTTATTTATTTTTTTTATTTTTTATTTTAAAAAATTATTTATTTATTTATTTATGATAGAGAGAGAGAGAGGCAGAGACACAGGCAGAGGGAGAAGCAGGCTCCATGCACCGGGAGCCCGATGTGGGATTCGATCCCGGGTCTCCAGGATCGCGCCCTGGGCCAAAGGCAGGCGCTAAACCGCTGCGCCACCCAGGGATCGGGGGATTTTTTTTTTTAAATAAATTTATTTTTTATTGGTGTTCAATTTGCCAACATATAGAATAACACCCAGTGCTCATCCCATCAAGTGCCCCCCTCAGTGCCCGTCACCGTCACCCCACCCCCCGCCCACCTCCCTTTCTACCACCCCTACTTCGTTTCACCAGGGGGATTTAACTCTAACCTAGCTGCAACACAAGCCCCCTTCTCCGTGTCCTGCTGTGTCTCCACCCAGGTCCCTTCTTGCCATGCCCAGAGTTACTTTCTAAGGTATCATGGTCACAGATACAACCTTTTGAAGTTCCCAGGCTGCCTGCAGGGAAGCTTCTTGGCATTAAATTGAAAGCCTTTAGGAGGGGGCCCGTGGCCTCAGCTGCATTTTCATTTCCTTGCTACCCTGAATGTGTTTTACACAATGATTTTATCTCTGCCCAGCATGTTCTTCCCTCCCAGCCTCCAGTTCAAATGTGTCTGTCAGGATCTTTTCACTGAGTGCCTGTCCTCGCTCACCAGGCTGGCTAGGGGCCTAGGTCCTCTATGCTTGAGTTTTTTTTGTGTGTCTCTCCTTCCCTCCATTTTCAGTCAGGGAGCTCTTGGAAGAGGCCAAGGTGGGAGGAACAGAATAATTCCTGGGATTAGGCCTGGTCTAGAGAGAGCCTCAGGAAATGTCTATTAAATGGGTAAATTCTCTTACTCGAGGACTCAGCAAGACTAACAGTTGAAGATACTAGAGTCCAGTATTTTCCAGCCGGAGTCCCAGAGGCCCAGCCCTCTTGTCCTGGCTTCCAGTGGCCACCAGGAGTCACCATCTGCTTAGTGTCTCCCCAGCCATTCTCTGGTCGCTTGGGATTCATGGTTGGAAAAACTACCATTCTCCAGTAGCCACCATGACTGAGTGCTTATGTGTCAGACACAGTGCTCTGTGCTTTTCACACAGTTATTTTATTTCTTTGAACTTGCTTGTGAGGTAGGTTATCTCCTTCATAGGTGATAAAATTGACACTCAGAAATTAAGTATTGTGAGATCACACAGCTGGCACAGCTGGATTGTATTTTTTTTTTTTTTAACAAAATGATTTTGAGAATCTGGGGTCCCAATTATGCAAGGCTGCAGGGCATCTTCCGCCACCCTCCTGCCTCCACCACTGGTGGGGATTCTAGCTTTGTGTCTCTCTCTCTCTGCATCCTCTCTGTTCCTTCGGTTCTGGGCCTGCCCACCTGGCTTGACTGTGGAGGGTCAGTGTCCCTTGAATATGGGGCATGTAGGGTCACAAGAATGTGGTGAACCGGAATTCTGGGAAGCTGTTACCAGCTATACTACTTGGGGTAGGTGCCTCACAGGACAGCAGTGCGGGCTCCTGAGATAATCCAGAAGAGGTAATCCAGTTCAAAAATGACTGACTCAATTCCAGGGACAGGAAGCCCTCTGCTCCCTGTAAAGGGAACCTTCTCTTCTTCGTGAGGCCAGTCTGACAGTACACCCGTGGGGTACAGTGGCCTTACCTCAGGGAGCACATGCACACCTCAACTTAGTTGGATGGAAATGTCCAGGAGGAGCAGCAGCAAGTATGGAAGGGCTAGCCACAGGCCAAGGTTCTGGGGCAGGAGGTGGGTGTGGAGGGAGAGGGACTGATGAAGACTGAGCAGGGGAAGAGCTCAGAGGAGAGCCAGCTGGGAAGGCTGCTCCATCTAGTCTTTGAAGTTCCCTGGTGGTAGAGAGGGTGAAGATAGAGCCCTGTGCCTAAGAACCTCTTTAGGCCTCAGTATTCTCTGCCTTCAGGTCTGTATACCTTCTAGGTTTTCAGTACTCAGGTACCCAGGCTGCAGGCCTGAGTTGGGGCCTCTAATGTCAAAACTGGAATGGCCCTTCCCTTGCTGTGCATGTGGGCTGAGGCCCAGAGAGGGGCTAGGGTGGCTAGGGTCTTGTATAGGGTCTCACAGCAGAACTGAGAACCCAGGACTCCTTTTCTGAAAACTGCCCTCAGGTTCTGCAGAGAGGGGCTGGCCTGGCCACCCAGTTCTAGGTTCTGCTCCCAGTGGTCTTCCTGAGGGACCTTGGGCAAATCACAGTATCTTCCAGGGGAACGATTTTCCTCACCACTTCCAGGCCCACAGCTCTGGGCCTCACCAAAGGTGACACAGCTCATCCCTGAGGCTGTTCTGTAGGCAAGAGTACTGCCTTCTCTCCCTGCCGAATCTCAGACCCTAGTATGCCTGAGATTTGACAGGGAGAAGTGACCAGCCCTTGTTTTGGGCTCTTGCTGCCCCTTGGTCATCTCCATGGGAGACACACCTTAGCTGGAGTCTTCTGTTCCTGAATCTCCCCGACCAGATGTGAGCCCTTTGGTGACAGGGATGAGATCTGAGTCATTTCTATCTCCAGTGCCCAGAACAAGACCTAGGGCAGTTTGTTGACTGGACAAGTAGTGATCGAATAGAGGTGGTCCTGGCCCTTTACAAGTTCTCGGAGAATCTTGGCGGCACCAGCTATGGACCCATTTGTGGAGAGTCAGCATACCATGTCTGGGTACAAGCTGCTTTCTTCTTCTGGACACACATCTATTGGTCAAAAATATTTTCATCTTTGCACATTACTTCAGTTGATCCTCCTGGATTTTAGGACATTCGTAGTGCCTTCTCATTCCCACTTTACAGATGAGGAAAGCAAGGCCCAGAAAGGTGAAGGGATGAGCTGAAGGCCACAGCTAATCAAGGTGGCCAGAGCTTCCCCTGCCCCCTATAGGAGCAAGAGGATGATGAGAATAGGAAGGCTGCTTAAGTGTTTAGCACACAGTGTGGGAGGGGTGTGAACCCTATTTGTGGGTTCATTTCTGTTGTTTCAGGCTAACACTCCAGGAAAATATTCCCAGACTGGAGCTCTCAGAAACACATGGCCAAAGTCCTTCATTTGTTTTTTTGCCTGTGGGACCAGGGGAAAACGGTCCAGGAACAAGATGCTCTTTGGCATTTGCAGGATTCTTGGCAGATCAACCGTTACAGAACAGAGTCTAGGAGGAAACATACTGATTGTGTCAAGTTGTAGGATTTCAGAACAAATTAAAATTCTCTCTCCTAAACTTTCTATATGCTGGTTGTATTTTTTTGTCATGAAAAACATCTTTGTAATGAACAAAATAAATGCAAAGATTCAGAGCAGCTACTTTGTTGTAAAGCCACTCAGGTTAGGCAGTAATTGGCTCCATTACTGAAAGCTGTGGCTGGCCTTCTTGGGCAGGGAGTGAATACAACAGCCTGGGATGTGATCACAATCCAGAGGAGGCTTTGCTTTCTCCAGGGGGGCATGGTGGTGGTGGTGGAGTCCAAAGGCTTGAATTTTCGATTTCTGGCTATACTGAGAAGTCTGTGTGTTAATTTGTTCTCAAATATCGTGACCTTTTTGTGTGGTGTTTTCACTGTGTCTAGGAACTGAGCCTATCTAGAACATAAGAGTTGGATAAACCCTTGGAAGTCCTCTCATTCCACTCCTTTCAAAGCTGGGGATGCAGGAGCCCAGAGGGAAAGGTTGTCCATCAAGTGACTGGGCTAAAGCCAGATGACATCCTACTTGCCTCTTTGTCTGGCCTGTGGGTGGTGGTGGAAGATCGAAGGTCAGAGAGGAAAGGGATCCAGGTAACGTGCTGTGAATCTATGGCTTCATTGTTTTACAGTTAGTGCCTTTGATGAAGGATGCCAAAACGTAGCTGTGATGCTGGGGTGGGGCAGTTAGTTTAACTGTGTCTCCTGGTCACAGACTAAGCCTCTGATGCCTCAAGCATGAGCAGCTTTCATTAGGAGAGGAAGGCAGAAGATAAGAATGGTATTGAACGTGGTATTCAGTGTTCACCTTCCCATATTTCTGTGAAGCATTCCTTCCCGTGACAGCCTAATGTAACCATAAGGCTGGAAGAGGGCAAGGACCCAGCTGTGAAGGGAAGGTCAAGAGCTGATGGTGAGGAATGTTGGTGGTGATCACCTGGTGCTGCAGCCTTGCTGCATCCTTCTTGGATCCACAGTGTTATCCTCAGGTTTCCAGGAGGATGTGGAGGCTTGGTTCCCACAGCTGTCAAGTGGGAGCCAGGATTTAACTCTGACTTTCTGACTCCCAAAGTCTACTGTGCTGCTAGTGGGAGTGTCAACAGATACAATCATTTTGGAGACCAATTTGACAAAATCTAACAAAATTAAATACTCATATAGCTTTCTGGCTCTCAAATTACGTATTTCAGAATTTACCCAATATCTTTACTGGAAAAAATATATAAAGAATGATGTACAAAGATATTATTTTCAACTTTCTAATAGCAAATGGATGGAGACACTATAGCAAGCTTAAATTATGATACATCCAAACCATGGAATATAAGACAGCCTTCAAAAAGAATGAGGTAAACCTAAATATATAATCCCACATATATAAAAAGGCAATGTGTACATGTATACATTTAGGCACAGAAAATGTCTGGAAGAATACATATTGCACGTACCCAGCTGTGGGAAGAAGAGAATTGTGGGGTACCTCTCCAAATAGACTGAGCCCTGGTCTTCAGTGTGGCTGGCTGACAGCCAGAGGGAATGAGCCTTTAACTGGGAATTTATTTCCCCCTCTCCGTATCTGTTTTATGGTTTTAATAAGGAAGGTCTAGGAATGTCTTTATAAAAAGCATTGTCTATTTACCCAAATATTTTTATAAGGAAGCTTAGAAAATTTAATTCCATTTTTTTTATTATTCAACAATTTATACATAATAAATACAAACTTTTTACAGCCACTGTAAAGAAAGCACATCTGCACAGAGGCACTCCTTCCGAGCCTGGCCCTGTGCACTGTGATGCTGGATTACATGTCTTGGAGGGAGGGGTTCTTTTTAAAAAGGAGGCATATTTTTACAACTTTTGTTTTTTGTTTTTTAAATAAAATTAGCAGCTCTTCCAAAAAATATTTTAAAATATAACAAAAGATTGCAAATAACTCTCTGAGAATGTGGAAAATCCAGATTCAAGGACAATTTGGCTAAAGAGAGAATATAAGACTGGGTAGCAAGAACTGCCTGATTTAAGCACTTGAAATATTTTTTAAAAGTACTTTGAAGATTTTTAACATGTCAGAGAACTTTAAAATCTTACAAAGCCACCCTTTTAACTTTTTTAAACTTAAGAATAAGTTTGATAAACACAAAAAGACCTCAAATAGATCAACAGGTTAAGAAATGCAAAAAACAAAACGAAAACCCCAAATCACAGAGAACACTCGTCACTGGGTACTGTCACTGAAGTGATCAAATGACTAACTGAAGATTTCTTCAGCTATAACCTGACTTTTGATCAAAAATCCCATGGGGGCATTTGGCGAGCATTTCAAGTTTTTAAAGATTCTTAGGAGGGTTGGAGTTTTCAGAGCATAATACAACTTTTAAATTCTGCAAATTTGATTTCTTTAAAAAAAAAAAAAAAGCAACTGGAAAAATCCCTTTGTCCCTAGGTTCGGCACTCCCTATCTTCTCCAGGAGGTGGAAGCCGGCAGAGACCTACTCTGGGCCACCTACCATGCTAGCCTGTGGAGAAAGCTATTCTTGGCTCTCCTTGTGACATAGAGAACTTGTCTTTGCCTTTTCAATTTGCACTTGTGCATGGTGTGCAGTCTTTTAGTCCTTTTTCATAGGAAGCTGGTTTCCTCTATAAATCACAGGTTCTTCCTCCCAAGGAGATGTCAAGTCAGTGGCACCTGGGAAGCTATACTTTCTGTGGGGGGTGGTTGCCGGTCTGGAGCAGCCACAAGCTGGCTGTCTGGGCTCATGTACCGGCTTGGGAATAAAATAATGAAAGGGGCTTCCCCAGTGGAGAAGCTCAACAAGGCAAGTACGTGTCCCCAATTTATCTAGATGTTCAGATTCTAAAGATACCAGGCAATAGAATATATGCTGCAAAAATTAAGATGAAAAATACCCAAATACAAAAAGAACGTTAAATTGGCTCGTTTCAGTTCTGGAAGCTCCATTTCTGCTTCAGCCACAGCCTCCTTTCTATTAGTCTATGTGATGGACAAGATTTGGCTATTAGAGTTCAGCCCCTCCATATTAGCTCCACTAACACTAAATGAATGGCGTAAATATTAATACAAAGGACACTGTTACTGTTTTAAATCTGTTAGTTGAGGAAGAAATGTGCATTAATGTAATTGGCGATAAACTCAGGGCAGTCCACTTTTTTCTGATAAGGTTTCAGTTTCTCAGTCTGGGGACTAACTGTGGGGAGGAGCCAGCCTCTCCTGAAATCCCTCCTTTTAGTTCCTTATGTAGCCAACGTGATCTGATTAAACTCAATCAGAAGAGCAAAAGCCACTTGAAGAAAGATGAGGATCTTTGCCACATCCTTGTGGCCACAGTAATATACTGTACGAGTGCACATGATCAGTTTCTCTGTGACTGTGCCCTGAATGAGGCCTGGTCTTGAGTCTCATATAAAAATGGACCACTGATAGGCATGAGGGCTGTCCCCCTGTGCTTCTAGGGCCCATTAAGATTTGTGCTATGGTAGGAGAGATGACATAGAAAATGACAACAAAAAAAGGCACAAAATATTCAAAACGTGGGAGGAGTCCACCAGGCCACCCAGTCACATGTAATCCTCCTCGGTTTTCCTCTGTTCAAGAGTCATCATCATATCATGCAAAGGTGCCTAAAGAACAAGACTGGCTAAACGCCAAGCCTGGCCTTGATTGTAGCAGTAATAAATGGGTAAACCCATCATCACACCAGTGTGATTTCTACATCCTCAATCTTCTCTGCTGGTCTTCGGTGGTTCTGTGTAGGTGGAGGGGGAGCTGCCCGGACCTGAGCAGCAAACAAAAACACGGATTGTCAGTCAGCTTCCTGACTCAAGGCTTGAAGCACTCAAATCACAACAGGTCATTTAGCAGAGGCATGGGCACCTCAGTGGTCTCAAATGCTCTGAACATGAGAGTATGTGCTTCCAAAGTAATTCTCACTATATCCCACACCAAGGAGTTCTGATGATAGGCTGAAAGCTTCCTGGGCATAAGAGTACTGGAGCCCTTAAAGCCTCATCTAAAGCAAAGGCCTGGGAGGTGGAACCCAGAACAATGCTTGGAGAACTGAAAATCTTTCAGCCTTTCTTGGAAAGAGAACTGCAAGAGATCAGACTAGATGTGTGAAAGGATGACTTTGATAATAGTTTGGAGAAAAGATGGGAGTTGGGCAAGAGTATAGGTAAGAAGACAATTTAGGAGGCTGTTGTAGCCAAGCAAATGTGAGTTGATAGTAGTCTGACCTAAGCAGGAGAAGAAGGATTTGATAGCCGTCTCCAAGGTAAATGTGGCAGGATCTGGTGATGACTCTTTGTGAGAGGCAGGGCCAGGGAATTATCAAGAATGATGCCAGACCATTGGTAGAATGGGGGGTCCACTTACCAAGAATACAGGAGAAGGAGCACGTCTGGGAGGGAAGATAATTAACTCACTGTTGCTGAGTTTTTAGGCTGTGGTATGTATACATTGAGATGTCTGCAAGGCTGGAGCTCAAGGAAGAGACTGGATTGGCAATTAGAAATCTGGGAGTTGTCAGTGAATAAATGGCTATTAGAGCTGTGGGAGTACATGAAATTGCACAGGGAGAGTGAGTTTAATGACTTTAGGAGAAGCAGCCCATGAACAAGACCCTGAGAAACATCAGCAGTGATGGGTTGAAGCAGAGAAGCCTGTACAGATCAATGAAAAAGAAAGGACCAGAGAGGAGAAAGCAAAACCAGGAAAGGGCTGTGGAACAAACTAGTCCACTCATACGCAGCAGTCTATGCTGCCATCCCCTCTTGCCTGGACCACTGCTCCAGCCTCCTAATGGCTCCCCATGTCCATTCTGCCACCTTCCATTCACTCTCACTTCGCTGCCATAGCAATGTTTCAAAAATGCAAAACCAGTTACATCACTGTCTTGCTTACAACTTTGCAATGGTGTCCTATT